AACAAAAAAAGAACTCTACCTGAGGAATACTTCCGAACGCGGCTAATGATCCAAGCTGTCGTCCATCATTATGTGATTCAATAAATTTTAGGCGGAGTTCGGGTCAGGTCACGTATTCTGTTTATTTCTCTTCACTGAGAGCCCACCATTACATGTGTTAATTTTTCATTCGCTACCGCATGTAAAGCACATGCGGTCGTCGGACAGAATAATTTTTCCATTATTGCATGGTTGCCTATGGTTACTAAATTTTAGAATTTGATCATTCCTAAATAAACAGATTATAGGCTTTCTAAACCTGGTTATTATCTAATAACATATGATTAGTGGATAAAATATCTGGTTGTAATCAAATAGCATCTGATTATTGATACCTCTATGAAGCGATTGCATGTTAGTAAATAATATTGGATAAATGTATTTGGTTATTTTGGATAGAAATAGTTATTGGATGATAGCATCTTGTTGTTGTTTCAAAGTGCTTATAAGAAATATTCAAAGTGAGATGTCTTGGTGTATAATGCATATGAAATAGATTAAATTGGTGGGACATTTACTGAAATAAATGGAAAATTAGAATGAAATAGATATTTTACATAGAATTATAAAAAAAATTTGAGTATATCATATGCACCTTTAGTCGCTTCAATTGTAATAACTATTGAAATAAAATAAAAATTTAAAGTCCTACCGATGAGCTAGATTTAAGCATTTTGAATATGTTGTATGGTAAAATGCAAATAAAAATGAGAAAACAACTTTAAAAAATAAGGTTGAGTTGTTAAAATAAAGAGTCTAAGAAATATTATTTGATAAAAGAATCTCTTTGAGACTCTAAGGGGAACTTAATAAGGCTGCCATTAAATCAATAATATTGTTTGAATCCAAGTAATGATAATAAGAAAATAATTGAAACTTAAGGGTAAGGTAACTGTGAATGTTAATATAGATATATTGTACAATTTGGGAAGACAAATTAAAGAATCAGCATCAGATTTTATAAATCTGGATTTACTGAATCCTTAATGCATACATGCAGCTTTAGGAGCTGTCTGGTAACGGATTTAGAGCAGAATCTAGCATGGATTTATACCATAAATCTCCCCAGACGTCAATTCGGACAAAATAAAGCCGCGGATTTCATAAATCTGGATTTCACGGATTTCGGCCATAAATCCCGTGGTTCGAAGGATTTAGTAAATCGAAAAGGGAGAAGTGAGGTTACCTTCCTCAACGGTTTCTGGTAGGAGCGGAGCTGAAAGATGAGAAAGATGGGAGTTTCGGTGGTCTCTGTACGCCCCGATCCCGTCGTTGCCTTCCCAGCTAGCTCTAATAGCTCTAATGGCGACTGTATCGAGGAACATGAACGAGGGTTTTGCGCGAAACTGGTGGGGATTAGTGAAGTATGTAGGCGAGGGTTTCGGGCCGAGGGAAAGTGTTAGATAGGCTTAGTGGTTCTAATTTAAATTTATTTGTAAGTTTTATTAATAATTAGTAAAAAAAATTAATATATTAACATTTGCATTATAATTAGATTCATTTACATGTCATTACTTAATAGTTATTAATTAAATTAAATATTAAATATTAAATATTAAATTATTTAATATAATTAATAACTAATTAATTGGTTAATAAAAAATTAGATTAATAATTAATTAGTTTTGTGGATAATTAATGATTAAGTTACCTAATTAGATATAAATTTAAATTTAATTTACTTAATCTTAATAATTTATATGGTGATAAGAATAAAGTCAAAGTTTGAACATGTTTCTATATTTTAACAAATGTAACATATTTTTATATTATGTCTGTATTTACTAGAAGTTTTGCATGATTTAATTGTATTTATTACCAAACAATTTTTAAGATTTAATCATTTCTAAGTTTTAATCAATTTGAATTTATAAAATTTATTAAATCCTAATAAATTAAATCCTTGAAGTTGCCAAACAAACCCTCATGTTATAAACCACTTTGTGCCTAAGCAAGAACTCTTGATAATTCTCAAAGGCAGCATGAATTTTACGACAATACAATGCATTAACGAGCATTTTGAACATAACATTATTTAAGTTCATGAAATGATTTGGGTTTAACTTTTAAAAACTTAGTCCAACACATTTTATGGGCTTTATGCAATGAGAATTAGATGTTAATAGGTTTAGTTGATCAAAACTGGTTGAATAGTCTTAGCATATTTTGATTAAGTATATTTTGCGGGCTTCATTCATCGCTTACCACTTTAGGAATCACCTCTAATAGTAGAGTTGATTCTTCTTTAGGGCTTCCACTATATTCCTCATTCACATTTTGCTCTACTGGTTCCAACCCCATAGTCTCTAAAAATTGTCTTTTGATCAACTCATCCACCACATCTATCCCATGACAAGTACATCACTAGAGTATTGGAAAAACAACATTAATTTAAATCATTAAAAATAACTTCCTAATTATTAACTCTCATATTAAATTTCCCTTTTCAAACATTAATCAAAGCCCTCGTTCTGACTAAAAAATGGTATGCCTAGGATAATATAATTTTCCTTATATTCCTCCATGTCTAAGATAATGAAATTGATAGGGAAGATAAATTTATCAATCCTAACCAATATATCCTCTGTCAGCTCTAGGATAGGTGAGAGCGTGGTAAGCTAACTGTAGGGTCACTATTGTAGGCTAGACCTCTCCTAACCCTAGTCTCCTAGAGAAAGACATAGGCATAAGATTAATGCTGACCTCTAAATCCCATAACACCTTCTCATATAATCTATTTCATACGATACAAGGAAAGTAAAGCTACCAAAACTCTTAATTTATACATGAAAACTTTTTTGAAGGATAACACTACACTCCTTAGCAGAGCAACAGTCTCTAAATCACCTAATTTTCTCTTCTTATTCAAGATAATTTTAACAAACTTCACATAACAAGGCATTAGTTCTAGGGCTTTAATAAAAGAGTATTAATTGTGAGCTTCTTGAATACCTCTAAAATTCTAGAGAACTGCATATTTAACTTATGTTTATGAAGTCATTGGGAAAAAGATGTTGATGGTCTCTCCAATTCTTTCCTAGGATGTGAGTCAAGTTTTTCTAAGTCTGTGGTAGGCTTATCATTAAGTTTTTCAAGCTCGGGATCTAGCTCTTAAGAACAACTCTTCTTCTTAAAATTTCTTCCAACCTCTTCCCGTTTCACAATCTAATGGTTTCCACTTGCTCATTTCTCTTTTCTTTCGGATTCACTTTGGTGCTATAAGGTAATATCTCTTTGGGTCTATTAGTTAAGGGTTAGTTTTTTTCTCTAATTGATTCTTGATATTTCTTATAGTTACTACTTAACTTTATAACTGGTTCCCCCTTTGTAACAATATTTATTCCAAAAATGATTTCTTTTCCTTAAATTGAGAATTGAAAGTGAATACTCTAATGACTTCCCCTACTTATTTCAATTTCCTACATGGCTGAGTTGGTTGCTTCCTCAATACTCGTTTATTACACCTTGGTTATTATTATTTTATTTAAAATTAGTGTGAATCTTTTAGCTTAGATTTATAGATATTTGAATATGGGTTGTTGAACCTATTTTCAATTACATTTAATGTCTCTAGAGAATTAGTACTTTAATCACTTAATTGTTTTTATGTAATCTCATCACTTGATAAGGATCCTTATATTGAATTTAGCCCTAAGTTATATAATTTCCTCAAAATGGTAGCTACTTGTGAAGTTAAATCACTAACACATGTGTCATGAATAGTTGCTACATTTCTAGAGTTGATTCTCTCAGAGAGCCATTGAAAGTTATGTGTAGACACTTTTTTAATCATTGATTAAACCTCCTCAAATGGTTTAGACGTTAGGGAGCCATCGACTGTGCTTTTATGATTGAACTTAACAATCCCCCTAACCCTTTATATAAAGTTTGAATAATCATCCAGTTAGGTAGGGTGTGGTGTGGGCATTTCTTAGTCAATTCATTGAATCTCTCTCAGGCTTCATAAATAGACTCACTATCCAATTGGTCAAAAGGTGTGATATCATTCCCTAGTTTAGCAATCTTAAATGGAGTGAAATACAAACAAAAAATTTTGAGTTGGGTCATTCCAAGTATTGATTGACCCTGGTACCAAGGATTTCGACCATATCATAGCCTTATGTATAAGCTAAAAAAAAGGAATAACCTAAGTCTAATAGCATTATTAGAGACATCAACATACCTAAAGGTAGTATATAGTTCTAAATCAGTATATGTGAGGGATTATAATGGGTAATCTCCCAAACTGGTTATGTTGAAGCATTTAGATGATGACATGTTTGAGTTCAAAAGAGGTAGCTTGTATGGTAGAGTTATTAATACTCAATTGAATTTCCTCTATTGATAGGTTGACATACTCCTTAATGGGTCTAAGGCGTTCTTCTTGAGGATTTGTCATTGCTCCAAGTGACAAGTTGTGATAGAAAGCTAGTGGTGGACAAAATCCTCACTAGAAAGACTCTATGAGAGCAGGTGGTTGACTGGGTCTCCACTCAAAGACTTCATAAGGCAAGATGCCTAAAAAAGCATAGGTACATCAAAAACCTCAAAAGCATACAAGCCTCAAGAGGCACAAGTGCATCAACGATCTCAGGAGGCTACAAGCCTAAAAAAACACTGGAGTACTTTAAGCTCCTAGAAGGCATAAGACTAAGAAGACACAAGTCTGAGAAAATACATACCTAAAATGGCGCAACTTCACAATGCATGAGCCTCAAAAAGGTACATGATTCTTTTTTATAAAATGTATGTGCTAACTTTAATTGCAGAATTCTGTATGATTGAGCGATAGAACAACCACAGAAACAACGCCAAAGACGTACAAAGAAATATGTTATCATTTACAAATGTCGCATTAGACAATTTAAAGTCTACAAAGAATAACATAAACTTGTACAAAGGCTACGACAAATCAGGTTATCTTCAGGAATCATCATCGCTTTTCAAAAATTCTAGTAGTTTTGTTGATCTTCAAAGGGTCTCATGATATCGCCACTACAGAAGCATAAAAATCTCCCTCAAAAAGTGCAGCAGAAAAACTCCAACATTTCTTCATCTAGTTTGGAATGTGTGATAGCGTAGAAATCTCATCCAAAATGTGCGGCGAAAAAATTATAGTTTTTCTTCGTCTCCTGCAGCTTGTCTGGTGAATTTCCCAGGATGTTGTCATCTCAGCAATGTGAAAGAAGATCCCGTTGATTGTTTGCTACGCCTGACAGGGACATCTTTCCTTTGCACCTTCTTCAAGAAAGAGGATCTTTTCGGTTGCCTCCTATGCAAGAATGGGACAAATTTTGTCTGCACCGTAGTGCGAAAAAATAACTCATTGATCACCTGATGAGTAGGATGTGGACGATTTTTTTCTGCACTGCAATGCAAAAGAGGATCTTGTTAGTCACCTGCAACGCAAGACAGAGATAACTTTCTTCTTAACTGAAATCCGAAAGTTGATTTTATTGGTCGTCTGCTACGCAGGACAAAGATAACTTTCTTCTACACCGCAACATGAAAGAAGATCTCATTTGTTGTCTGCTACGTAGGTCGATGATGACTTTCCTCCTCTGGAAAATCTCATATCATCTGTTATGTATGTATGGAGATTCCACCTCCATCTTCATCTCCTTTGCCTATTTATAGACTAAAAAATATATTATATTGAAGACAAAAATAATTAAAAAAAATTTAAAATCTGCATTAATATTTTTTTCTTTCAGGCTTCCAATCTTTGGTTTCCCAGCTTCTGCTTTATAGCCTTCCGGCTTTCGCCTTATGATATTTCACCTTTCTTTTTCCAAATAAATAAATGCAATTATTTTTTTAAAAAATCACATTAGAATTTGATATTCATAATTTTTTTTCTTCTAAAACTTAAGTAAATATAAATATTTCATATTCCCTTATATATAAAACTATAAATGAGTTCTAACACCCCCTTCCTTTTCCCATGTAACCATTAAAATTTCATAAAGTGCATTTGCTTTTCTTTTATAAACAGTGAGATTTTGTTGTTCTCGATTCCTGCTATTCCAAATAAAATTACAGCATGGGGGGAAATCCATAGAGAAAATAAATTTTTCATATGCGGGTGGGAGAAAGCGGCAAGAAGCTTCTCACCTATCTGAACAAAATATTATTTAAAGCATTTATTCATCTATGTATTATAACTTAAGCTCAGAACTTGTATTGAAACTGTAAACATAATACACACACAATCACAAAAATTTAAGCATGTTAGATTTTAATATTTTTTGGCAAAAAAAATAGAGGGGCAACTGATACGTCATTAACAAATTCATCATCCATCATAGATGTCGAGGTAATCTTTTAGGCAAGAAATATTTAAACTTCAATTAAGTCTCATCCAAAGCTCCAATTTCAGCAAACTTATAGTCAAACTGAACAACTTAATGAGACGAATCCGATGACTTTGAGATGGAGCTGACGTCCAACACTCCTGCCATCATCGAACACTGTCGCCCACAGTCGACTACTGCAAATCACCATCGACCTCCGTCGAACACTATCGTCCTTCACCTGTCGGTCGCTGCAAGTTACTATCGATCGTCACTCATTGATTAAGACAAGTTCATCCACATATCGAGTTGTAACTCGGGAGATTTTGCAATCATTTCCCCCTAAGGGACAAGAGCCTTGTACTTTTAATCTCAGTTTATAGTGAATCTTTCAACTGAGTTCAGCTCTGTGGTTTTTTCCCTTTACAAATTTTCCACTTAAAACTTTCAGTGTCTGTATTGATTATTTTCTCTTTTCTGAGTACGATAATACATTACTCTGCTGCTGACGAATTTTCTAGCACGTATCACCAGCGATAATTTTTAAAACCTAATTTAAACATTCATACATATCTTTAACCTCTATATAATGATATCTTAAACTATAAGTGTTCAAAGATCAAATTGCCATTACATAATGCACAATCTCATTACAGTACATTTGATTCCTGCTTCGATGCTCTTCTGGCTTTCATAACAAAAGGTTAGCACTATAATAAAATATATAAACCTACTAATAAATTCTATTTTAAGTTCAAATCCAACACCTGGTGATTCTATTCCAGATGATCTGCAGGATTACAATCTAGTCAGAGATAGACAGAGACGCACCAATGTAAGGCCTCCTAGCA